TATATATATATATATGCAAATCTTTGATGATAATAGTGTAACTATAAAATACTATAATCTTTAATTGAATTTTAATTGAATACAGCAGCTGATCTCTGGTATCAATGACTGTTGGACTGGTACTTGAAAAGTCTCAAGACTAAACATAGACTCAGACTAAGGTGTCTCTGATCGAATGTATTTCTTATCGCACTTCAGTTTAAAACTATGTAAAAGTGCTTGTCCTGGATTAACTGATTAACTCAGCTGCCTTGTAAATGATATCTAATGAATAATTTCTATCCAATCCAGGGTGAGAACACACTAAACCGCCGAGATGTCAGAGTAAGTATTCTGATCGTGGGTTTTTATTGGTTTAAAATAATGTTCAACATACTGTAAAAAATGTTAAGTTGTGTTTTGTTTTGATTAGAATAGTTTGAGTAATCCAACATAAGCACAGAGTGTCTCATGGTGAACTTGTTTTCATAAACAGAAAAATGATGACCTCCAGCCGTAGGCATCATCTGAAGGTAACACACATTTTTACTGTAATTTCATAAAGTACAGATTTTAAATGTAAAATCTGGCTAATATGACTACATTTAAAAATGTTTTGAAAAGTATATTGTTTATCCATCTGTGTCGTCAGAGCCTGGTGCTCTCCATTGCCTTCAATCTACTGGATGCTGAAGCCAAGCAGCTTGCTGTTGATAAGGAGGCTTACATGAACGAACACAGCCCTGCTCTCGATCTGCCTGGACCCACACAAGAGCTGCAGGTGCCAGTGCTATAATAGTAATAGTAATAATAATAACAATAATCATTTTAATAAACATTGTTAAATAACAATTATATTGTATTCATTACCATATCAATACTATTGTATTGGTTTTCACCTTTTTTTGTAGTATTGTGTATTATGTTATGTATTACATGTGTGTATTACACACATACACATAAAATCATATATAATCAAATGACAATGTATTACTATACATTTAATAAATATAATTACATAATTTATTTGTAATTTATATATATATTAGATAGATAACACAAGGCTTACAATTATATATATTATTAATTAATAATATTATGATTGTTTTAACAACCACATATTAATATAAATTATTTTAGTATAATTGAGATACTTTTATCATTTTTATTAATATTTTGAATCGTTTTTATTTTTATATTTTCCTTTTTCATTTTAATTTCAGTTAAAGTTTTAGTAATGTTGTTGTGTTTTTGTCATTTGTAGTTTTTTATGTATGTTTATATAGGTTTTAATTCATATTTAAATTTGAGTTATTTTCAGTATTTTATTACATGAAGTTAAACTAAATAAATAAATGTTAAACTAACAATAAATGTTGAACTAGCTGAAATAAAAAAAATTAGAAGATAGATAGATAGATAGATAGATAGATAGATAGATAGAGATGGGTGGATAGATAGATAGATAGATAGATAGATAGATAGATAGAGATGGGTGGATAGATAGATAGATAGATAGATAGATAGATAGATAGAGATGGGTGGATAGATAGATAGATAGATAGATAGATAGATAGATAGAGATGGGTGGATAGATAGATAGATAGATAGATAGATAGATAGATAGATAG